TACCCCGAACGAGCCTTTTTTCGATTTCGTCAAACTTTGGACGACCATAACTTTGTGCTCCACAATCCGAAAATCATGAAATTTTTTTTGATTTTGCATAACTTTTTTAGGACTAAAATTTTTATCATAGACATAATTTCGGAATGTACTTGGATTCCTAAAAAGGAAAGGTAAACTTATTCTCAAAACCCTGTATATCCAAAATAATTCATTTTTTGAAAATTCTCTCCTACTAAAAATTGTAGTCCTCAAAAAGTTATGCAAAATCAAAAAAAAATTCATGATTTTCGGATTGTGGAGCACAAAGTTATGGTCGTCCAAAGTTTGACGAAATCGAAAAAAGGCTCGTTCGGGGTAGCAAACGACGTTTTTTCGGGACGAAGGCGGGACCAAACCGCCTACGGCTGTTTGCGGCTTGCAAGATCTCGAAAATCTATGTGGAATCAAAAAAAATTTCACCACGATCGGATAACCGAGCACAAAGTTACGTTTTTTTAAAGATTCGACGCAGGTCAGGCCTTCACCGCGGCCGTCGAACGCGGTGAAGCTATCACCGTTTTTGTCTACAGCGGTGATGCAATCACTGTTTTTCTCTAACGCGGTGATTGCATCACCGCCCTTGTTTAACGCGGTGAAGCAATCACCGCCTTAGTCTGACGCGGTGAAGACCCAAACATGCGTAGTTTGGGAATTTTTTTCATAGCATGTGTATTTTGAGAATTTTTTTTAAAAACATGTGTACAGTGGGAAATTTTCCCTTTTTCCCTTCTTAATGCAACTACTACGTACGTCAACTCTTGTTTTGAACAAAACTACATTGACACTTGATAGGATAAATTAGCTGTTTCCTTATAATTCAAGAGAGACTTAAATCTTATGTATAAAAACCATGGTTCAAAAAGGTAGCCTAAGCGTTAGGAAATAGCAAAACTTCTCGTTTAGGGGTCTGCTTCTAGTTAGATACTAGATACACGTCAATGTCAACGGAGTAAGATGACACCTAAGTGTCTTTCTATGCATAATTAGATGGAGCCAACGGCTGATCTAGGGGCAGCACTCAGCCCTCCCCTGGATCTAGAGCTAGTATAGTCCTTGTAAATTTTCAATTTTAGGTATTTGTTCAAGTGCTTGTCGGGTGCCCAATCCTCTCAGCCTCTTTTTCAAATGTGATACAGTGCTCTACCTTATTTTGGATCCGCCACTGGATGCCTGGATGGAGCTAGACAATCAATATTAAAGAAGAAAATTAACACGAACTAGGAAATTAATTTTCTATGTAAATAATTTTAATAGCTCAAGAACTTTGTGAGCTATTGAGCTATAATTCTACAAACTTTTGTGTTATTTTCTTATCTTTAAGTGCGAAGTAAGTTACTAGTATTTTTAACTGAAGTCACGAGGCGTTGTAAATTATTATTTTATTCATTATGCAGTGCAAATATCTATTTTTTTCCTATGCCTAAACAAGCTAGACACTAGAAAATATCCCAACTCCATTTATGCCTAGCGCCTTCTTGAATCTTGATAAAAATGAACTTAAAACTGGACACGGTTTTAGGTAAACTATGAAAATCATATTCTAGGAATTACTGTTATGAAAGTCAATGTCTGAGCTATCACATTCATTGTTCACGAGCTGATACATAACAGACCACACATGTCTTTTAGATCAAGTACGTACGCTCGATTACTGAGAGATTAGGCATAACCACGTACTTACACCTTCTAAGTCATTTGATTTACGATCGGATAATTGGGGTCCGCATAGAAGGAGCTAGAAACAAAAATGAACAAGTTGGATATGTTTGAATCCCTTAAGCATATGTAATGTTGACAGACACTATCCATACACTTGAAGTCCAGACTCCAGAGTATTGTAGTAAAAACCGGTTTGAAGTATTTGCCATGAAACAGTTGTTTACAAGGAATTTGGTTGCTCCCTGTCCCATGAATATGAACCGACATTGGAATATCCCCCGCTTGGCTTTCCCTGTTCATTAAGCAAACACATTATTCCTTTTTTTTTTTCGCCAACAACAAAGAACGCCATTGAAAATGGAGGAAGAGGGAGTGGTTAAAAGCTAAGAGTAGTTGGATGGCAATGGAGTTGGTCAACTACAATTAATACTTTGTCCTCAGACAAAACAAACCCTTAATGGAAAAATTGAGCTGCAGAGGTTTGGGCACTGTTGGGAGGCAAGGTTCAATTCGGTTCATTTGTCGCTGCCTCTTGTAAAAGGCCTAATTTAGACAAAACCTATATAAGACAGCAAACGGACAAAGGAGAAAAGAACAGGAACACAGAATGAAAATATTTGGACTTGGCGTGTGGGTGAGAGTGAAAGATCGATCTGCAGAAGGAAGGAAGGAAGGAAGGACGACGACGACACACACACTTAACAAAGGCGCCAAACACGCATTTACTACGTACTATAACCGTCTGCTTTTGCCATAAACATGCAACCAAGAAATTAACCCCACCCGCTGTTGTTGTCTGTTGCGTTTTGGTTGTTAATGTTCTGATTGTCCATGAGGTTTTGTAATTTTTTGGTCTTATGTTTGTGATCTTATGATGATATTCATTATTATATGTAGTTTCAAGGAAAATGTGTGGAACATAACTAATCATTCCCTACATGACTTAGGCATTTGATATTGTTTATAAGAACTCATTCATCCTAATATTTTTTCTGGCTTAATTGCAAGTTTGGTCACTCGAATTGCTATAAAATTTCACGTTTGCCACTCAAATTAATTTATTCCAACTAATAAAACATAACAATTGACTCCCTGTATATTTCCCGAATACCCCAAATAATCTCTCAATTATCAAAAACCGATAATAATACGAAATAACCAAAAATGTGTGTTCGAACAGTCCGCCCCCCGAAGCTGTCTATACAAGGATACTTTCGTCATTCTTTGGAGGATTTTGCCACCATCTTCCCAAAGTTAGAGCCACGAGTCTAGAAAATTTTCTCCCAACAATTCAACACCCGGAGAAGGCAAATTAGAGAAATCAACATTCTTCCATCATTGTGATCGTATCTTCTTTGTTCATTTCACTATATCACTCATGAACTAATTAATGTCTTTTTGAATGAGATGAATCCTAATGATGTTATTATGGATTAATTCAATGTAATATAGATACATATGTTAGCTTTCCTTCGAGCTATATCCTTGAGTTACATTGCGATTTTCAATAATTGTGTACTGGTTCATGTACCTGAAGAATATCTACATTGCATGATTGATCACTTCAGGATAGAAAGAACTGATATGATTACTAGATATATAGAACCATGTAGAACCTTTGGATTAGCATGCAACTCAATATAGAAAATCACAAAATTGTTTAGCTCTTTAACTACTTAGTTTAGACCAATGAGAATATCGAGTATAATACTATTTTGAGGACATCTCTGATCAATGAAGAGGAATCATAATTATGTCAGTGCTTGATCAAGATGTATAAAGCGACTAATTAAGGATGTTTGAATATGAACAATGTTCGACCAATATAATTGTGTTTTCTTAATTGGTATGGTAGTTGATTTTATTTCAGTTAATTAAAATCCTTGAAATTGGCTATATATTAGTAAACGTGGTGTACTATTGTAGTTAGAGCCTCTGTGGGAATTGGGATACAACCTTAGTTGCCATCTATAATGCATAGACGACCTTTTTTGGTTATATAAACAGGCGCAAATATATTATACATACTTTGGGAACTAATGGGCGCTTTAGATTGGGATATTCTCTCTTTTTTTTTTTTTTTGGATTTGTTGAGACTATAGTGTGTGTGCGCTTTGGCTTCTCAATAACTATAGCAACTTTTGTAAAAAGTCTTAAAGATATTTTTGGTGTGAGGTGTTAAAAAATGTAAACTGAATCGGAAATGAGGCATTTTGTATTAAAAATTCAATGTATGGGATACTGGATAGTTTATCTGATAATAAAGGTATAATTTTTAATATTATTAACTATGTAAAATTAGTTGACAAGTATAGTCTCATACCATTTTAGTTGTTGCGTTTGAGAGAAGGTGAAATAGAAAAAGAAATTATTTGAGTATAAAAATTAAAAATACTTGAGGTATAGTACTAATAGAGAACAAGACAAAACCACTAATCCATGTCCTATCTCATATAGATTGCGAATTGATTAATACTCACGCAAAAAAAGTATAGACGACTCTAAATAACCGAAACATGTCGAAATTATCATCTTAACAACTTAGTCTGCACAAAGAGTTAAAGCAAACTTTACAACGTTATAAAGAACTCAAGGACAATATTATAGCCATCTTGGGGTTGGACGAATTATCCGAAAAGGATCGCTTAACTGTAGCAAGAGCACAAAAAATTGAGCGTTTCTTATCACAACCATTTTTCATAGCAGAAGTATTTACGGGATTTTACAATAAAATATGACAGTCTAACAGAAACTATAAGAATGTTTAAATCGTTGTTACTAGTTATAACCTGAAGCGAAACGAGCAAGGGAAAAGGCAAGTACATGGGCCTCCCCCTCTACTCCCATATAATGAGCTAACGATAGCGACGTGTAGGCAGAGAAACGAGAATATATGCCATAGCCATAGCCATAGCCCTTCATCATCACCCACCAGAAGCAGAAGCAGAAGCAGCAGAAGCAGAAGCAGCAGCTAGGTAGCTGCCGATCGATAATCCATCTATTCACCTTCACCATCATCATCATCCCCTCTTCACGAGATTTCCTATTCCTTTTCCTTTCCTTTCATTTCTCTTTTCTTTTTCTTATTTTTCATCAGCAGCAATAAACCCAGTGAAAAGGTACAGAAAGAATTAAAAAAAAAAAACAATAATTACAATGGTTGCCTAATCTCATTTCCCACCCCCTCCCTTCTCTCTCTTACAGGCTATACCTTCTTCTTCTTCTTCTTCTTCTTCTTCTATCTAAGCCATAATAAGGTCAGCCCTATCCATCTATCTATATATATTCGACCACATGCTCCAACCTCTTTCTCCTCCTGCCTTGTGATTCCTAGCTATCTATCTCCCTCTCTGTCTCTTTGCCTCTCTTGTTCTTTTCATTTGGTTTCGTTGTTTGTTCCGTAGACAGTATCACTACTTTGCTTGCTATGAAACCATAGAGAAACAAAACACAAACCAAACCAAACCAAACAAAAACCAACGTCATCATCATTCCTCCATAGACCCGTTTAATATTCTCATCTCCCCTACCCCTATCCCTTCCACTCCATCCTTTTCCCTCATATTTTTGTTTTGGATTTTTCCCTTCACCGTCTTCTTCTTCATCTTCCAAACAAAGATGTTCCCTTCCTCAACTTCTTCTTCTTCTTCTTCACCTTTTCTTGGCGCACCCATGCCCAACACCACTTCACTATCCGCTGCTGCTTCCTTCTCCGACAACATCTACACCACTTTCATCAACCACACTCAACAACAATCACTACTATTCCCTCCCCCACCCCCAACCGCCGCTCTCCCTCCTCAGCCGCCGCTCCAAAAACAGCCCAAGAAGAAACGCAACCTCCCCGGCAACCCAGGTATATCCCCCGCATAAACCCTAAGACCCAAACAACAAACAACGAATCCTTATTAAGTGTGTTTGGTGTTATGTATATGCAGATCCGGAGGCGGAGGTGATCGCGCTGTCGCCCAAGACCCTGATGGCGACGAACCGGTTCGTGTGCGAGATATGCAAGAAAGGGTTCCAGCGGGACCAGAACCTGCAGCTCCACAGGCGGGGACACAACCTGCCGTGGAAGCTGAAGCAGCGGAAAGAAGAGGCGGCGGCGATGAAGAAGAGGGCGTACGTGTGCCCGGAGGCGAGCTGCGTGCACCACCACCCGTCTCGGGCGCTGGGGGACCTGACCGGGATAAAGAAGCACTTCTGCAGGAAGCACGGCGAGAAGAAGTGGAAGTGCGCCAAGTGCTCCAAGATCTACGCCGTCCACTCCGACTGGAAGGCGCACTCCAAGACCTGCGGCACCAGGGAGTACCGATGTGACTGCGGCACCCTCTTCTCCAGGTAACCTACCCAACAATACATTACATTACATTTATTTTCTTTGTTATTAGTAATATAATTTATTCTTCTGACCCACCTTTGAAAGCAACAACACAGAGGCAGAAGCATAGGTTCATAGCTCAGGCTGACCCAAAAGAAAAAAATAGGGATTTTCTTTCTTTTCGATGGGTCAACTTGCATTAAATGGGTTTGAAGTTAGGGTAAGGGGGATTATTGGGTTCCACTTGTGTTTACCCGTTTTAGGAAAAAAATAAAATGGAAATGGGGAGGGAGGGAGGGAGTGATGACTACTGCAATCTGAGGAGCAATGATGAAAGCTAGCTCGCTCTGGTGTCCTTCGGACACTAAATTAGAGAAATAGTAAAGTGGAAGAGAAGGGGGAGGCCCGTGTGTGTTGGTACAATGGGGGATGATGAGATAAGTTGAAACCTTTTCAGAAATGAATAAAAATGGGTGTAGATAGATTACTTGTTTTTTTTCTTTTCTTCTCCTTGTCTCTCTTGAGGTGAGAAGAAAAGGACCATGGTCGTCATCATCATCATATATATATATGGTGTTCTGAAGTTTCTGACCATATATTCAGAAATGGTGATGATGAAAGGGATAACAAGTGATCCATGAATACCTGCTGCTGCTGCAAAGAAATCTTCGATCATAGTCTGATTTGCTTTCACATACTTGTGAATATGGACATGGCTAAATACATACATACATACATACTGCTTTTTTCCTTTACTCTTCTGCTGCAAAGAAATTTGCTTATTATTACCATTCAGGGCATTCTTTGGGATGATCGAGGGCTGCTAGACTAGCTGGGGCTGCTTATAATAATCATCTCTCTCTCTCTCTCTCTCTCTCAAAGATTTGCCACATTTTTCCTTTTTGTTTACATTGCAATGTCAATGTGCATGAGCTTCATGGAGCTAGTATGATGAGAGGATGAGAGAGATAGCTAGTTCAACTTTTTGCCCCCTTGTGCAAGCTTGGTATCATAATATTTGCTAAAATGCCTTGGAGAGCCCTGCAGCCTCTACATGTGTGCCCTTTTCCTCTTTCTGCATGCATTTGCACATTCACATAAACATCAATCAATTCTCATTCCCATCTCTCCCTCTCTCTCTCACTCTATATCCCCTTTAATTATGCTTTTCATTTTGACCCCAAAATCAAAAAGTAAAAAAGGGAAGGTGGGGGAGATATAGTTTTCACTTTTTGGTTGGTGGGTTTCTTAGTAGATAGATAGTTGTATGCTTGGTTTCCCTTTTGCTAATGCTATTTGCACCATCATCACCATGGCAGCATGCATACCCAGTAGTACATTACCCTTTTTCTCCAAACCATCCCTTTGAATCAATGTTTTAGAAACGGTAACCTATTTTGGATCACCAATTTCGAACATCAGATAAGAGATGGTAACAAGTTTAGCAGTACGAAACAATTGAATTACGGTTAAACTATCAGATAGGTGAATTAATTTAGTGTATATACGTACTAGCATCTCTATGATTAACTAACTAACAATGTTTTATGTTCATTGTTGTTTTGTTTGGTTGTATTTTGGGGGGAAACCACAGAAAGGACAGCTTCATAACCCACAGGGCATTCTGCGACGCATTGGCGGAGGAAAGCGCTCGCCTCTCCGCCCACCAACTCGCCTCCGCCTCCGCCGCCGCCACGGCAACTACACCAAACAACCCGCCGCTCCAACAAACCCTAGAAGGTTCCCATTCCTCTTCTCCTCTCTTGTCACAAATCTTACCGGCGGCGGCCTGGCAGGACATCCACGTCAAACCGGAATCTCATCAATTCCCGATCCCATCACCCCTCTACCACCACCCTCCTCCACCGTCGCACCACCTCTCCGCCACCGCGCTCCTCCAGAAGGCCGCCACCCTGGCCGCAACTCAGGCCGCCGCGGCGCAGACCCAGATGTCGCACCTGGACATGGGCGAACTAGGAGCCGCCGTGGCCCCACGCCGCAGCCAGCAGCAGCAAGCCGTTGACCCCGCCGGGAGCTGCATGAATGGCGGGTTCGCCACGTGGCAGCAGAAGAGCGATCGTTTTACGAGGGACTTCCTCGGTTTGACCGGCCACGAAGACCGCCGAGGAGGCGGAAGCGGCGGCGGCGGCGGCAGCGGGACGTCAGATCATCATATGGGGTTTGGTAATGCGAGGGAAATGCTGGGGTACGGCGGGGGCGCAGGGCTGCAGCGGTACACCTGCCTTGGGAGTGACGTGGCGCTGATGAAACCATTGCCGGGGTTTGGGTTCGCTGCTGCGGCTGCTCAGCCGCCGCCGCCGCCGCCTGAGACGTGGAGAGACTGTTAAGGAAGGAAGGGCAGCGGAGGGCAGCGTGGTAATTTTGATTTGAGCTTATTGAAGGAATTGGCGGGAATACCCTTCTGCATTTTGGACGAGTGAGTGTTCGTGCATCGGTGCATGTACTTGCTGACAGAATCGAAGAATTGAAGATTGCAGAGTTGCAGAAGAGAAGCAGTGAAGAAGAGAAGTCGAGCAGATGAAGAAGAAGAAGAAATCCAGATTGGGGAAGGATTCACTGGAATCATTGAAGAAGTAAAGAAGAACGACGACGTATTACTAGAAGAGAAGTGAACAAGAGAAGACGACAACGTTTTGTTTATTTCCACTTAATAGCCGTTAAGTTACTGTTTAGTTTTATCTTGGACGAATGATGTAAGGACAACTGGCTCTTTTTGTTTAATTGAATCCCAGCTATAAAAGCTGAAGGAAGACTCAGAGATACCTGAGCTTCTTCTCCAAATCTCATTACAAAATTGTTATGGTATCAGAGCACAACGAGCTCTAGGGTTTTTCCGCCGCCCACAGCACAATGTCTGCAGCACAGACTCCACCAAACACGCCGCCGAACAATGGAACAGGTGGTAGTGCATCGACGACGACTACAGGTGCAACAGGGTTTCAGTTTGGGACCTTCAACCAGAACCAACTTCAACCTGAGACAGTGGTATTTGGTAACCCTTACTATCTCAACCCAAATGAGAATATGTCTCAATCCCTTGTTGCTGAGAGTTTCGATGGAACTAATTATGTGATGTGGAGTAGATCTATGCAAGTTGTTCTTAAGACTAAGAACAAACTGGGTTTTATTGATGGGTCAGTGCCCATTCCTCCTCGAGATGCAGATTTGTTTAACTTGTGGGATGCTTGCAACACTGTAGTTCTCTGTTGGCTACAGAACTCTATGATTAAGGAGATAAGAAGGTCTGTGTTGAATCACACAAATGCTAAGGCATTATGGGATGAGTTGAAGAGACGATATGGTCAACCTAATGCACTTAGAATCTTGAACTTGGAAGATGAAATACAGGCTTGTAAACAGGGAACTAGATCTATAGGTCAGTATTACACAGCCATCAAAGGGCTCTGGGATGAGTATGTTGAGTTTAGTCCTGTTGTTCCATGTGTTTGTGCACCTGGGAATCCCATACCCTGTGCTGCTGTGGCTGCTTTTATCCAGAAGCAGGAGACTGACTACCTTGTAAGGTTCCTGAGAGGACTCAATCCAGAGTATGAAGTGATCAAGACTCAACTCCTGCTGCAGAAACCATTGCCTACAGTATCAACAGCAGTGGATGATTTGCTGCAACATGAGCAGAAGTTGAAGGCAGATAACTCTGCAGGAAACAAGAAAGGCCAAAGTCTGGCTTTGGCAGTTGGTGGAAGCCCTGGTAACAATTCCAGGGATAACAGTTCAAGGGACAACAATGAAGGAAGAGGAAGGAAGTTTTGTCGATTTTGCAAAATGAACAACCACAATATTGAAGACTGCTGGAAGCTGAAAAGAAAGCAGGAAATGCAAAGAGATGGCAGTGGTAATGGGGGGTCATCCTCTAGTTCTGGTTCAAGCTCCAGCACTCCAAGGTTTGCTGGTTCTATCTCTCAGAACAGTGGAAGTGACAGTGTGTCTGAGGGAAGTGTCATGAATGAGAGCAAATCATCCACAACACTTGGTTTTACTCCAGAAGAGATGAACAGACTCAGGATTTTATTGCAATCTGGTGCTGGCACTCAACCTTCACCTCCCACCTCACCATCCATTAACCACCAAGCATATTCAGCCACCCTTTACCCTACCACCTTCCCTTCATTCTCAGGTAAACATGTCCTATCTTCCTCTCAGAACTGTAAAACACAAAACCTAGCCTTATGGATTGTAGATACAGGAGCCTCAGATCACATAGCCTGTCATCTATCCCTTTTCTCCAGTTATAGACCTGTCCAAGATACTTTTGTTTATCTCCCAAATAGCACAAAAGTTAATGTCACATGTATAGGGACAGTTACACTAGATTGTGGATTAAAACTACATGATGTTCTCCTAGTGCCACAATTCTCTTTTAACCTTATCTCTGTTAGCAAACTTACCCTTGATAACCCATATTCCTTACATTTTCATTCTGATAAATGTGAAATCCAGGACCTCTTAAACCAGAAGAGGATTGGTTTAGCCCACACAACTAGAGGACTCTACCATCTTGCCCTATCTTCAAGACAACCAAAGCCTTCCTCACCACTTCTTCAACACCAAGCAGCCACCATCTTCAACTTCATTCCACAAGACCTCAACCTGTGGCACTGGAGACTAGGACACCCTAGCCATGATAGGCAGTCTTTACTTAGTCATGTAATTCCCTCTATAGCTAGAACCAAGACCACTCACTGTGAAGTGTGTCATTTGTCCAAACAAAGAAAATTACCTTTCCCTGTTAGCACCAGCATTGCACCTGAGGCTTTTCATTTGATACACATGGATATTTGGGGACCATTGTCCACAGTTTCTTATGATGGATTTTCATACTTTTTAACTGTTGTGGATGATTTTACTAGATGTGTGTGGGTGTACTTGATGAAACACAAAAGTGAGGTAAGGGGGTTAATCCAAGGTTTTTGCAAGTTGGTTGAGAACCAGTTTCACAAATCTGTTAAGGTTATTAGAACAGATCAAGGTAAAGAATTTGAAATGTGTGAATTCTTTAGTTCAGCAGGCATAGAACACCAGGTCTCCTGTGTAGAGACCCCTGAACAGAATGGGAGAGTGGAGAGGAAACATCAGCACATTCTTAATGTGGCTAGATGTTTGAAGTTTCAGTCAGGGCTGCCTTTGGTTTATTGGAGTGACTTTATACTACATTCTGTTTACTTGATCAACAGAATGCCTACCCCCATTCTAAACAACAGAACCCCCTATGAACTGTTACACAAGAAAGCTCCATTTTTAGGCCATTTGAAGGTATTTGGATGTCTCTGTTATGCCAATACCTTGGTCCATGGTAGAACAAAATTTGCTCCTAGAGCAAAGCAGTGTGTGTTTATAGGGATCCCCTCTGGTCTCAAAGGATACAAAGTCCTTGACATCCACACCAAGCAAGTCTTTTTCTCCAGAAATGTTTCATTCTATGAAACTATACTTCCTTTCAAATCTTCTGACACAACCTCCTCTCCTCCCAGTCCATCTACTCCTAATACTTCTGATACAGTTCCAGCTCCATCTCTGCATATTCCCTTTTCTATTAATCCTGCTCAACCTGCTCCACAGTCTCAATCATCCATGGATGAAGGGGGGGATCCTGAGCAGGAGTTCTCATCTGGTCCAAGGACAACACCAAGAAGTGACCACTACACTTATTTTGACTCAGATGAGCAAGAGCTATATCCTCAAGCTGATCCAGACCTTAATGAACCCAGCACAGAGGATAATAGAAGGCCCTCAAGACACATAAAACTGCCAACCAGGTACAATGATTATGAATTGGACTCCTCTCTCAAGTTTGGAGCATTTGGTGGGGTAAATGCTAGCACCAAGTACCCTATCTGTCTGAATGTTAATTCTTTAAGCAAAGAAGACAGATGTTTTGCACTGAGTGTTATCAATCTTGTGGAGCCAAAATCTTATTATGAGGCAGTGAAATCAGATGTGTGGAACAGGGCTATGAAAGATGAAATGCATGCCTTGGAAGAGAACCAGACATGGGACATAGTTCCATTGCCACCAGGAGTGAAGGAAATAGGGAATAAGTGGGTTTATAAGATAAAACTACATCAGGATGGATCACTGGAAAGGAGTAAAGCTAGACTAGTAGCTAAGGGCTACACACAGGTGTATGGAATTGATTTCCTAGACACCTACTCACCTGTAGCTAAGATTAATACAGTGAAAACATTCTTAGCAGTTGCAAGTGTGAAGCAGTGGGTCCTAGAGCAATTGGATGTATCCAATGCTTTTCTACATGGAGATTTAGAGGAAGTTGTTTACATGAAGTTACCCCTGGGATTGGAAGTACCATCTGGAAGCAATCAGAAGATGACTTGTAGACTGAAAAAGTCACTCTATGGCCTCAAGCAGGCATCAAGGCAATGGTTTGCAAAATTGACAGGTTTCCTTTTGAAGTTTGGTTTTTCACAATCTGCTTCTGACTATTCTCTTTTTACCAAGTGGACACATGGGAAGATTACAGTTTTGTTGGTGTATGTTGATGATATCATATTGGGAGGTGATTCAAGGAAGGACATTGAGCAAGTGAAGGCAGCATTAAGTAAGGAATTTAAGATAAAACTTCTTGGACCTTTGAAATACTTTCTGGGGTTGGAAGTGAACAGAAATGAGAATGGACTGGATGTGTGTCAAAGAAAGTACTGCATTGACTTGTTAAAGGATACAGGGTACCTGGAATCTAAAGGATGTAAAACTCCAATTGATACCAAAGTAAAGTTGTCATCTCAGGGCACTTTATTAGAAGATGCAGAAAGTTACAGAAGACTGGTGGGAAGACTGCATTATCTAACTATCACTAGACCTGACATAGCCTTTGCTGTTCAGCAGCTATGTCAGTACCAGAAGTCTCCTTGCTCAGAGCACATGCAAGCTGCTTACAGGGTCCTCAGGTACTTGAAATCATCTCCTGATCAGGGTATTCATTTTAGCAATCAGGCTGAGTTAAAGTTGACAGGATACAGTGACTCAGATTGGGCAAGTTGCCCAGACACCAGAAGATCCATCACTGGATATTGCACCATGCTTGGTTCCTCCCTGATAACCTGGAAAACAAAGAAGCAAACAACTGTCTCAAGATCTTCATCTGAGGCAGAGTATAGAGCACTGGCTCACCTTGTCTGTGAAGTGGAATGGCTGAAGAGGTTGCTGACAGAGTTAACAGTGGAGGTCCCATTGCCTATAACAGTATACTGTGACAACAGATCTGCTATTCACATAGCAGAAAACCCTGTTTTCCATGAAAGAACAAAGCACATTGAAATTGACATTCATGTGACTAGGGAAAGGATCAAGACAGGTTTAATCACTTTGAAGTACATCAACACAGCAGAGCAACTAGCTGATTTATTCACCAAAGGATTGGATCGATTCAGGCTAAGAGACTTACTTGTCAAGTTGGGGATCAAGTTGATACCACCAACTTGAGGGGGGCTGACAGAAT